CATATGTGCACCAGTTGAGAAATATACTATTTTCCTACTCTAACCTAAAATACGCAACTTTGCGCTAATTTTAGGCTCTCGTAGGAAAAAATGGTATCATCAACTGGTGCAGATATGGTTTTTCAACAAAACTCGTTACCCCACTGGCGATTGGCGTGTGCTATAATCACTCCTTTTGCTAAAAGACTGTATGTTCACCAGTTGACTGGCTGTAATCGCGTTTTTATACATATAAAAAGAAGCGCAGTGCCAGTACGCTTATTTTTGTTGTAAAATACCGAAAACCCGCGCTACTATGCTGTTTTTCTTGATTTTTTGAGTATATCGGTAGGGGTATCAAAATTCCGTTCGAAGGGTTACCACAAGTATTGGTTACTTATAATGGGTCTAACAGGAAATGAAACCCGTCGCTAAACACAAGGTTTGGCGCTTTTAAGTGGTTTAAAACTCTAATTAAAATTTTTTTTTAATTTTTCCATGTTATTCAAATGGGGAAAAAGCTGACGCGTATGGCACTATCTAGAGTTAATTTATCGAGATCGGACAAGGATTTTCATTCATTGTAAGCCAAATGATGAACTTTCAATGAGTGAGAGCGAAGATTCGAGCAATTCGGGAAATAACGGACAGTCTAATGCAGCTTTGGAGCGGGGAACGCCTTACACTTGAAGTTGCGAGTAGGGAGCAAGTGGCGAGCTCAAAAATGGGCGTAACCCGTGCACGCGCTCGCGATCGCATTGCTGCTACGTATATTGTATATATACTCGAGCCAAAAGAGCAAGTACTCGAGAGCATAGTCACTTACATCTAAATATTCAATTAAACCGCTCACACGCCTAATTCACATCCTAAATTACACGAGTGGTCCCGAGACCGCACGTAATTTAAGCGGCTGTAGCTACAGGTAGTGCAACGCCATGAGGAGAAATAATGAACGATTTTTTAAATTGTTATTCCGGATCGTTTGCCGGGCTCAAATTGAAGACACATTTTTCTACATGCATGCCTAGTGTACAGCTCGTGGGCCAGAGTCCCTTGCTTCTCTTTCTCTTTGGGCATTTATGGCCGATTCTCTTCTAAAGCGCCGCGCGTGTACCGACGTTTTTTTCGCGATAATTAGAGGGCGGTGCAAGCTGCACACACACACACATCCGTACGTTATGTAGACCGTGCACGCAAGCGTACGTAGCTCGAGCGAGCGAAAACAAGAAAAGAAAAAGTAATGAATAAAAATATTTAAAAAGTGTATTACTCGCGTCGGGAGGCGCACGCGATACATATTTCTTCATATACGCAATGAACCTGACACGAGGTCATGCTTGCAGCGGCCAGCTACGCAGGACGTTTCGAATTTTACGTATATCATTTATAATGTGTATATGTATACGCGAAATGAAAGACGGCGCTTATTCGTAATCACGGGGTCGGCATGTCGGCCAATTATTTTTCGGCCATGCAACGCTCGCGAGATCGAGCTTCATGAGAAATTTCTTATTAAAACAGCTACATACGTACATGCGAGAGAGAGGCAAGAAAGGAAGGTGGTGCGATCGACGCCAATCGTATTATCCCTAAATCAGAGAAAAATGGGTCTAAAAATGGCTCGCTCGACGTTTATTATACAAGTGCTGCTGCTGCTAGAGGCAGTGCCGCATGAATTATTTCGCCTAAGCATAGCCAAGTCGATAGAAACCACGGACTCGAAAGCTCAGTCGTACTCTCGGCAGAGCTCGAGATGTATAATCAATCTTAATTTGACATAAATCAGCCAGGAGCACAATATATAGCAGAATATAGAAGAATATCACGGCGGCCGATACATCGATCTTTGCTCTAGCTCGTGCAAGTACACAGCCAATACGTATAATGGCTGCAGAGCTGCCAGCTAGTGTGCGGCAGCAACGGCATAAATGCAAATTTAACACAAAAGGCCGCGTTTACATTACAGTATTCAGCTGTATTCCGTTTCACAAGGCGTTTACACTATACTCGAGCTCGAGCACACAACTATGAGCGGATAATCAATCACGTCTCTTTTATACATTGTACGAGCGCATGTATACAATATACGTATCCCTTTTCATTAGCCAGCTTCTCTCTCTCTTTCTCTCTTTCTCTCTTTCTCTCGGTTGGTCGTCCACGCAGTCCAGCAGAAACGATATTCGATTGTCGCTATACTCACAGTACTCCGAGTCCGCTGCAGTCACCTGTCGACCGCTGCCACGGCTAACTGTTTGCGTGGATCCCTCGTCAACAACCGAGTCCCGAGTACAACAAACTCGAGAATGAAAAATGGCTCGAGCTCGAGCGCGACGCGATTTGCCTCGCCGAGAGAATGCCGATTCAGGAGCGAGCATAAACGATCAGCGGGTCGAGGGTGTGATCGGCTCGCGATCGCTTGGCAATCGATTTGCCAGCGATAATACAAGCTTTGAGCTATTAGCGCGATCGACGTGGCTGTGTTTTGTACTGTGTATGGATCGCTGCACGCGTACGTGTAATAATTAACGAATCGATCGATAATAACTTACGCGTGCCTGCCTGCCTGCCTACTGCATGTCCCTATCGCATGCAACTAGCTCAGCTACACATAAATCACTCGCTTAACTTGCACACGAGCCCGCGCCATCTCAGCTACACACTAAAAACATCTCGCCAGCTGCAATTAGCACATCATTACAAATGCTAATAATCTCTCTCTCTCTCGTTCTCGGCTGACCCAATTGTCAAGCGCTACCTAATCAACATAATCACAAGTGCCTCTGCTGCAGCAGTCGCTCGCTGTTGCATTTACGGCTACTCGCGTATCTCTGCTAATATAAGCATGGAAAATTAGCATAAACAAGCCACATAAAACGAGTTTATTATATGCAGCAGCAGCAGCGAGCGTATGCAGTGCGAAAGGGCACGATATGCTCAATTGAGATTTCACTTTTGAGTCATTCGGACTATACAACGACTGCAACGCAGCAACAACAACTGTACGACGACTATATTATCTTTCATTCTTTTTACCTTTCGTTGCGTTGCCGCGAGACTCTAATTCTTCCTCGGCCGTAACGATCTCGTAAAAGTCCAGGCGCGTCTACTGAAGATGCGAATTTCGGAGCTGCACACTGCAGGCGCGCGCTCCACCGCCGCACAAATTACCAAAACGATTTTTCAAGCCCACGGCATCTCGCTCGGCTATAGAGATCGCGATAAAAACACGGCTGCTTTGGCCATTTGTTTTTACGAGCTTCCAAAAGATTCGACTCTCATTCGAGCTGCCTATTTTCGGGACGATCGCCGGAAGAGATTGGATTTTATCCCGATGACGCGATCAAAGCCGCGCCATTACGATCCTTGGCTTTTTTCCATAATAATGCAGCTCGTCGATATCGACGCGCAGTCTCGGATTTCTCACTCTCGCGGCAGGAAAATTGAGCGATGATGCCGGGCTTTTAATCGAGCGAGGCAGCAGCTCGCTGCACCGCGCACACACGCCCCGTACTTACGCGCGCGAGCCGCGATTAATCACCAATCTTAATTAGTTGATAAATTTTGCCTTAATTGAGTGTTTCTCGCACGCGCGAAACTTTCTTGTAATCGGAGCTCGTCTCGGCTCGGAGCCGGCTTCATTAATATTTTATTGCAGCATGAGTTTATGTGCGCGCATGGCCGGCCTCTTTACATCCGTTACTTTGACGCGTCCAACCGATGTCGATTAAAAATTGATCGCGTCGCTCGATGCTCGCGTCGTCAGGTGCATCGTCATCGTGTTTCACTCGCTTATTTCTTGCTCGAGCGTTGAAATCACTGCCTACACCTATGCACGCGCACGTATGCCAGCAGCTGGAAAGCAGCGATATTGTCTACCTCGAGCCCAAACAACAACAAAAAGCAAAGCACCCGCGAGAGCCAATGTAAACAGGTATCGAGAACCGATCACGCCTCTGATGACTATCTTTTTTATCTCTCTCTCAGCCTATCTCGCCTCGCATCGTTAAACGATACGCCAGCCGCTATCAACTCCTAATTGTTTATTTACTGGAAAGCTACCCGTCGCAGCGATGTCTACAAAATACCTACAAATGTTTTCATTTTCAATATTTCACATAGAGCTATATGATTGTACTCTCCGAGTATATAATATTTTAATTGAATACACCATTGCCGGTGAAATAAATCTGCCTGTCCCGACTGTCGAGCTTCGGATCTGCCTGCGTGTGTGCAGAGTATAAGTGTACTACTCTACGTGTATAAACGGTACAGCCAAATAAAACAAACAAGTAACGAACATGCCGTACGAGAAATCCGAGTCACACGATTGCCTTCGATTGGCCTGCCATGTACGAGCGAGCGAGCCAACGAAAGGAGCGATGATCTATATAACCGCATATATATGAACATCTCGCGCATTTCGTCCTTTTGTGACTTGTATATTCATGCGTCAGGCGATCGAGTTCGGGCACGTTCGCACAATATCGAGAGTAACGAGCTCCAACAGATCCAATTGCGTGTGAAATTTATACGAGTCGATTGAGATATCCTTCCATATGTTTTACATGCTCACAATGAAAAATTCTTTTCCATTTTACTTTCACATTTTTATTTTATTATGCATTCAATTTTTCTCCCTTTCGTCGCACTCTCAATTATGTTTGATGTTACGATGTATAAATATTCATATATTAAGTAACACATATGTACGTATAAAATGACCTTATTGCATTTATGTGTGTATATATAAGTATAAAGTTATCAACAAAATTGGACTGACATCGTTTTACACATTATTTCTTCTTTTTTTTTAGAAAAATTATCAAAACATTTGGCAAACGTCGATATTATCAACGTCGAGGACATCTATTGGCAATAACTTGCGTTGAGTCGCTGCAGAGGTACTGCAGTTATTACTGCGTGAGACAGAGGATAATGTAGATTTGCACTAATATCTAACTTCTATCGTTAAAAATTTGATTATAAAAATTACCAAGTATAAAATTATTAACAATCAATTAAACTTTCATTTGGTTATTTTGTATATCAAAGACAAATAAACGTAAAGTGTCGAATACAAAATATTTAAAAATTAATCGTCTAGTGCACAATCTTGCACGTGTAAAGTACGTATAAAAAACATTATCACTTTTTTTAAGTCTTCATATTTATGCTTCATATTTTATAGCAATGGCGTTTAAGATATATTCATAATTAATACTATTGTTATACTTTGAATATTCACATGAGAACGTATCAAGTAATATATAGAAGATTGGCTGCGGAAATCCAATATTTTACGATTTTTTTGGCAAAGGAATTATCCCTATCGCATCACCGTCACTATTTTCGTTCAAGGTCAAGCCCAGTTCCCTCATGGTTGCACTGTCAATTTGACCGATTTTGACGCTTTTCCGGATGATTTCTTGGTTTTCTTTATTATTTTCCAAAAGATTTCGTATAGCTAGAGTTGTCCATTGAATTATCACTATAAAATAGGAACGAAAAAATGAACCATATGAAATTCTTTCCTTTTTATTATCATAGAATACTTACATGGGTTTCTGGCATCAAGATTGCAACAATCGAGAAGTAGTGGAATGCCCTGATTTTCGCGGACCTGAAATATTAAAACTTTTATGTAATTTAAAATAGCAAAATATCTTTTTTTTATTCAACAGCTGACTCACGAGATTTTGATTTTTTTCATGCTGGTAAACCAAATTTCCAATTAAACGAATGAGACCAACTTTGAACCCATATGCAGGATGAGTTTTTATAGTTCGTGCACAAACGTGATCAGCCGATTCTGTTTTATCGTCTCTACAACAATCGTAGTTGTCCGCCAAGGATAGTTCGCTAAGTTTTTGTATTGGAGTGAAAAAATTATTCGGCTCTTTGCCGACCATTTGAATTGCTTTTAAAAGATCTAGAAATTAGAAAAACAGTTGAAATAAGTTTTAATACTTAAATAATGCATTTGTTGAAAATGTACATACAGGTACTACTTATCAAAAGGCTTCTATCATCTCTTAATTTTATAGCCTCGTCTCCATTAGGATTGGAGGTCAATATTCCCAAAATATCTAAAATTATGGATACTTCTGTTGGTTCTATGTTTTTTAACTTGCCATCCTTTGTATTCAAAATGATGTCACAATTCCTTTTAAATTTGTCAGACAAATATTCCACAACATCTTCATGTAATATAAACTTTTTTTCATCTCCTACTTTATGAACGTTAGAGCTAACTTCTTGATAAATTATATCTAGTAAATGCAATTTCCCACCCTCATACTCTTCCTTTTTTTTCTCATCCTTGTCCTTATTTTCATCCTTGTCCTTATCTTTATCCTCTTCTATCTTATCGTATATATCTCTCAAATAGTATGATTTTTGAAGCAAGATTGATAATGTATCCCAAGCTACATAGACATCAGATATGGTTGATTTCATTAATTTTTTAGTAAGCTTTATCATATCCATAGAATCATGGAAAGACTTGTCAAAGTTTTTTATCATATTATTGACAAAACAACATGATACTTTTACAATCGGAATTTTTTCATTGCTGACAAATTCTCTGAAAGATAGAAGTATAAGTTATTATTTGAAGTATTAGACAGAACAGAGTTTAAAAATTTAATAGCTTACATGACAGCATTTTTGAATTTCTCATCATTGAAATAGCTAGGTATGGCTGATTTGTCATTTCCATAAGACAAGTTAATGGCAAATGCAAGAAAATTGCATAAAAATCTCAAGCCTACGCATAATAATTCCACTTGCTCTTCCACCAAAGATTTTTTTGACTCTAACTCTCCAAATTCACTAATAGTTTTGACAACCCAAATAATAATATGTTCATATGGAAAATATTTTGTATATGGATAAATACTATTTTCTTTGCTTCCTCCGTTTTCAATACCATTTTCTTTATTAACTGATGTCCATCCAGATGCTTCTTCATACAAGTTCTGATAAAAATTATTACTGTTTGTGGAACTTTTTATGTTATATTTCTCATCTTTGTAACCATCGAGACAAGAATTAGAAATACATTTGAGAAATATGATTTTTGCTTTCAAAGGAAGTTTGCTATCACTCTCATCTACAACTAATTCTGCAGCTTTGACGGTTTTGAGAAAATTATCCAAATCGCTGAAATGATAGATATGGGTTTTAACTTTTAGAGCTCATTTAAAAACATATGCTTAATTGAATTGACACATTACCTTGGAATTGTTTTAATGACGAAATCTGCAGGTTTAGCAAAAGCAGCTAAACTATGCCAATCCTGTTTCTCTATGCAGTCTAACCATTGTTGACACAAATCCATTGTTCTGTTTTTGTGTTGTACTCGCGTGAGATCTAAAAGAAAATTTACCATAAAAATATCTTGTAGCGTAAATTTTTCAACGTAGTAGAACTCGCGTATTAAACCTGTTTGTAAAAATGATCCAGAGAAAATTAATCGACAAGCTCTTGGAGCATAATAATTAATGCACAGCGTAGGCTTATTACGCACAAAACGATGCAAATCAGCGATGTTGGTGGCAGGTACAAGACACGACCACAGCCGGTAGTTCCTTTCTCGTGAATCCTACTCCTGCAGCCTGCTTTACGCGATTTATATAGGTAAAATAGGGTGTACACACTTACAGTGCGTGTGCTTGTGTGTTTTTCCTTTACAAGGTTGAGTACATTTTGTAGCAATCACGCAGGCGCCATATCATTGCCGGCTCAAGAAAAACTGCAAGGCAGTTCGCAAAGTTAAATCGCGTAGCGCTAGCCGTCGTGACTCTGCGTGTTTGTATCAAACACAGGATCGGCACGTTAATTTTTATCATCAATTGTTTGCCTCCTTTCGTTGCTAATCCAGCAAGGTAGGTTTACATTAATTAAAAACTCATTTGAGACTGTACCGTTTTATTCGGATGAATCCTGTGCCTGTAAAAGGATCTATTTTCAAATACTTTTGCACTGTCATTGTATGCTAACCTCGAATCTTACAGTTGTTTTGAATTTTCCACTTACTCAAAATATTTTAATTGCACGTCAAGTTTGAATACAAAATATTGTTCGTTTCTTTTGTTAACAACAGAACTTGTTAGCTTGATGCCGAAAGTATTATTCGTTGCACAGTCAGTGATATTTAAAAATAAGCACCGTATAACCTGCTTTTCGTTTTAATTTATAGTTCAGGTAATGATATCACGTTGAATTTTTGCAGATGTTCCTAACTCGCTCCGAATACGATCGTGGTGTAAATACTTTTTCCCCGGAAGGGCGGCTTTTCCAAGTTGAATATGCCATTGAAGCTATCAAACTTGGCTGGACAGCCATTGGTATTTGCACATCTGAAGGTGTTATTTTGGCAGTTGAAAAACGCACAACTTCTTTGTTGATGGAGCCTACCATGGTAGAAAAAATTGTTGAAATCGATAAGCACATAGGATGTGTTTCATCGGGTCTCATGGCAGATTCAAGAACCTTGATTGATAGAGCTAGGATTGAATGCCAAAATCATTGGTTCACATATGATGAAAAAATGTCAGTTGAATCAGTAGCTCAAGCAGTATCTAATCTTGCTATACAATTTGGAGATAGTGATGATGACGGTAGTGCTATGTCCAGACCTTTTGGAGTTGCATTGTTATTTGCTGGAATTGATGAAAAAGGACCCCAATTGTTTCACTTGGATCCATCAGGTACTTTTGTACAATATGATGCTAAAGCTATTGGTTCTGGTAGTGAAGGTGCACAACAATCTCTTCAAGAAGTTTATCATAAGGTACTATAAATGTTTTTAAAAAATTTTTAAGACAATATATTGCATAATTAATTAATTATTATTTAATAGCATCTAAATTTCACTATATAAAAACTAGCATATAATGATGCTTTTGAATGATCAAAATAGTTTCTCTATTATATAATATCTATTCTTGATAAAAATTATTTCTATTTGTTCAACAGTCAATGACTCTAAAAGAAGCAACAAAAGCAGCACTGAAGATTTTAAAACAAGTTATGGAGGAAAAATTGAATGACACAAACATTGAAGTTATGTCAATGACACCAGAGGCCAAATTTCACATGTTCACAAAAGAAGAACTGCAAGAGGTGATTAAAGATATTGCATAAGTACCTAAAATTAATTAAAATCAATTTGTTCATACCAGCAATCAGGGAAAAAAACATGTCAACGGCAATCAACTTTTGCTAATCAATTTATTGTCAACATTTGGCACAGTGTCAAGTATACATATTTTTCATATATGTTTTCTAGAGAAAATATTAAAACACTAATCATTGTAATTGAACTGGGATTATTTGATGTTGTTGTCAACGACATTAATTTTAATTATCAATTAAGAATCATGTATGCTCTAGACAAAAAATTATATCCAAGTTTTTTATTGTTCATCTTATTTTTTAGTTGTGGTTTTGACAATTTTTCCACCAAATTTATCATATTCCATTACTAACTTATTACCATCAAACTTCATACAGGTACTTGCAAGTCTTCCAGAAACCAGAGAGGATTCATTAAGGTCAACTTCAAATATGACTCCATCCATCAGAACTTCGTTATCCATGCAAAGCCAATGAATTCCTTCAATCCTTCATCACCTTCCAGATCATAAGTTATTGCACTAACTATCTTTTTTTCATTTCTTCTTATTTATGTTTTGCTATGTGTCAATTTCGTCATGTTCGCGTTTTATTTTAATATTATATAAATTTGCGCCTATTATTGATTCTAATCACAATTTATAAAGTAATACTCAAATAAAAATTTAGAGTTAATAGTTTTTATTTTCTAAAATTTCATACAAAATTAATTATTACAAACATTATAAAATTTAGTTTTTTTACACAAATTTCACATAAAAAATGTATGTGAAACATACTTAAATGTTTCTCAAGTTTTAATATCAGAAAAATTTAAAATTTAATGATTCTTAAATAGTTTAATTTAAAAAAATAATTATATTTACATTTGTTCTGGCACTTTATAGAATTTTATTCTACATGTTTAAAGATCATTTATCCAACATTAAGTTTGACCTTAATTCAAGAATCTTTAAAAATAAAAATATTATTTATGTAACAAAAATAATACAAATCCTTATTGATTATATTATGCTATCGAGTCATAAATCAACAAAAATTAGACTGATGGCACTATCAACAGAAAAATAAATCTATTTAATTTGCATCTGTTCAATTAAAACATCTTCAATGATTCAGTCTAACTCTCTTGCAGTAAAATAACTCAACACAAAGCAAATACCAGCTATCTCTGGTGCTAAATTTTCATAGTTTGAATCTAATTTTGTTTTGAGTGACTTGAACTTTGACATTTTTTTTATTATAACAGGTCTTTGTGATAATGAAAGTATATTTTGATTAGGTGTTTTGGGAAACAATCTTGTCACTTTAGGGCCAATCAATTTTTTTTTGTGTAATGAATAGTTTTCTTTAAAACATTGCGGCAAGCAATCATTTAATGTATCAAGTGATGGCCATAATTGTTGGTTTGGTGCCCAAGTTTTTACCAAAAGATCAATCACAGATGAAATAATTTTTTTTATATCCATTTGGGTGCAATTAAAGTGAATAGCCAAATCTGCATCTGGAATATTTCTTCTGATTTTCCAAAAAGTCAAAAACAATTTATTTTCATTTGAGATAGTTAAAATTTTCTTTGATTTATATTTTAATGTGTTAATTATTGGGGATACAGTCTGGAAAACTTCATTAAATAATAAATAATTATTCAGTCCTGTAAAAGTTTGTACCATTGTGTTTGAAATTAAAGTGGAATTTTTAAATTGTTCTATACCCTTAAGGGAACTAATATTACTCTGCAAGGCAAAAGTCAGCTCTTTGATATTTGATTTTTCTTTGGGTTGATCTGCAGAATCTATAACTATTTCTTGCACATCTAACATGGCTAATTCATTAATATGAGCAATTTCAGATTCGTTCCTTTTTAATCTCTTATACCTTGCCAAATGACGCTTATTGCGATATTTTAATGTTAAATCTTCTTCTTCATAGTAATAATTATGATCTTGAAGATACTTGGTTGGCAATACAACTCTGGTCTGCATCAATGGTTGCAGTACGTGTACTTTTTTAAATGCATTACCTTGATAAAAAAAAATGAAAATTGAATTCAGATGTTTAAAGTTGAAGGGGGGAAAGAATAGAATTAAAAACGTACTCGCTCCTTTGGGATTAAAATATTTTGGTTGAAAATGTGAGTCACAAAGGCCTTGCCATTTTTGTAACTTAAAGTAAGCCATGTCGACCGACTCAAGCCATTTAATTTGAATGTTTGGATCGTGCTCAACACCATTTTTCACTTTGTATGCGCATCCCTTGACAGCACAACTCATTGTTTTAATTAAGCGATCGAAAAACGTGAAATTTTGGTAAGTTTCGGAGCCGGTCTAGCAGAAGACGAGTAGAAAATGCAAATACCGACTACACGCGGAATCGTGGATAAAACGACTCGACTGGTGGCGCCTCTAGGTGTGAAAAAATTTCAAACGTTTGAATTTTCGAAGCTCAAAAAAAAAGAGAATAGATCATTTCCACATTGGTAACTACTGGTCACTGGTGATTTTCTAGGAGGCAAAATGAACATAGTCTCTCTTTTACTTGACTCGCAATGCATGTACTTTGTTTGTTCACTTTGAAGCAAATCAGTCTAGTGGGTAGTATAAAAATGATCGATTATTGCTGAACTGAATTCGGAGATGTTACTCTTTTCGAATGTTTAGGCCCGGTTCCTTGAGGGTTGAGCCCCCCATCCAATAACTATGTGTCCGGAAAAGTAAAAAAAAATATGCATGACTTTTGAGTAATATATTATGTAGGAGAGAAAAAAGCGTATGCTGCGACGAGATTGCAACGGCGAGCTTGCGCAAGATTTAATATAATGTTTTGTTTTTCCCTTGCTTTGCATTTTAATAGCGAATTCGTAGGTGCTCGGCCGAAACGTTGCTTGTGATCTAGCTTTCACTCGGTCGTTTTATGAAGGCGCTTAATTTTAATGATTATCCACTTTATTTCCTGCACAAGCATGCATTTATGCGCGCCGCACGTGTATGTATATTTGTTGAGACCGTCGGGCCATTGAAGAGATATGTTTTGAAGTTTTTGTTTTACAGAGAATTTCCGGTTGTGGGCGAACGACGGCCGCAAGTTGCTCGAAAATGCTTCGGCATCTATAGCAACGGTATGGAGGACAAATTCGGTGGGAGCAGAGGAGAGGAAAAACGAAGAGCGAAAAGCAGCGCAGCGCGTCGATGCGAAACGAGCTGCTATCGTCTCTTTCTCTCTCTCTCTCCTCATTGAATGACGTTAAGCCGTAAAAAGCGTCGAGCGAATCTGCCCACCCCCGCAGTCGTCTCTTTGTATAGACAGATCGAGGATGAAAAGCTCGGGCCGCATATACAGTGGTAGTACGAGTACGATGTATAGCGGCCGTATCCGAAATCGATAATTAATTTTCGCTCGAGAAAAGCTGCGGTGCGGAGTCGAGCGAGTGCGCCCGCGATATCATTGGATATTATTCCATTTGGCGGTAAGCGTTCAGTAGGATTCGCTCGCTTTCGACGGAGCCCGATGCTGTCGCAGCCTCCGCTCGAATTCGCCGCTCGCTGACAGCCGATGATTGCGCTTAAAATGGGATTTCTCGCGAGCGCGAGAGAGACAGCTCCGCACTGCTGCCTAGCCAATACCTATACCTATATAATACGTTATATAGACGTGTGGAAGATTCGCTCGCCACCGAGGCTTTTTTTACCCCTTTTTACTCCCCGGAGGCTTCCCACTCCCTTCCTCGCTTCAATTCAAACAGATGCGGATGCGATATTATTAATCCCAGTCGATGAATTCAACTTAAACTTTCTTTTAAATCAGGCGACAAAAGAATCCAACTGAATACTTGTACGGTCAACAAAATGAAAAAGCAGCGGTCGATTCTTTTCCCGCCTTACCTAACGAAACGTTAATTACCTACTAAAGTTTGTTTGTCTATTTTCTTTGATCGCTGCGACCTTCGGCATCCAATCGCGAATCGATAGCTTTGCAAAATTGATTTGGCGGCAAAATTGAGGTGACGATAAATTCGTCGAAAGTAAAGTTGGGTAATTTTCTCGCGAGAGTAATTTCTCGCGGAGTAGAGGTCGGCGCAGCAGACACCGTTGCCTACATAATGCTCGCGCGCTAATTGCTCGCTGCACATTGCACATTTTGACAATCGCCGCGACTGCGCCATCTTCGCGAATTCATCTCCCGAGGGAAAAATAATAATAAACATCCATAGTGGTCGAAATATCGAGCGATTCTGCGTGACGCAAAGTGCAGCAGACAAAAAACTCGGTGAAAGCTGATGTGCGTACATATTTTCTCGCATTGCTGGCGCGTGCGATGCACCATATATCACATAACTCGAGTAATAATAGTTTGAATTTTCTAATAAATATGTAGCTGGAAGGAAAATGACCCTGGTTGCGCAACGGCTCGAGCCGCACTTGTAACATATTTGCGAGCTTACGCTCCTTTTGTTTTGTTTGATTTTTTTTCCGACGCCGAGCAGCGAAAAATATCGGGCTCTCTGGCCGTCTTTTTGCATAACGAGTGAAAATATAAATGGAAAAATTATCGCCTGGCCCAATTTTGGCGGGCGTTGCGCAACGGCGAACCCTTGAATTGGATAATAGGCTTCCAGTCGCTGCGGAGCGAGATTAAAAGAGCCTCGCTGCAGACTTTGCCGAGAGCCACGGTGAAAAGAAGTGGAAATTAAATTGGGATCGAGAGGGCTCGGGCTGATGGCTGAGGTAACGGGCTAAGCGTGAATGGCGCCGCGTGCGCGGAGACGCCCATATCTCTCGCCATCGCAGCGACTGCCAAGGGGATGCGACGACGACACGACGATGGCATCCCCTTTTATAAGATAGAGAGAGTTAGAGAGAGAGAGAGAGAGAGGAGGAAGGACTCTTGATAATTAACTGGGTAGCTGCAGCTTGGCTCGCCTTCCACACAGACTCGCAGCATATCTACTGCACATGTACAAAGCCGTAAGCTTTCTCACTCTCGAGTAGGCGAATCCCAAGGGTAGAGAGTCGAGCGAGCTATAACAAACGCTTCGACGTATATAGACTCGTGCTTCCCCCTTGGACCTCTTCGTATCAGTCAGCCGACACTCACCCGACGTTCAAGTTTCGCCTATATATAGCGATAATTGCCTGGCAGTTGCGCTTAATACCCGACGACGACGACGACGACGACGAATTTACCCTCTTCTCTCGTCGTGTCGTAGATATACGCGCGTATTATATAGCTCGCAAAGTGTGAATAGACTTAGATTCACGGAGAAAATTGCGAGCGGGCCAAAGGATCGATTTCTCCACTGCGAGCTCTCTCGCCCAGGAGACTCGACTAGCAAGCGTGTCTCGTAAGAGCGAGACAGCGAGTTTTCTTTTTCTTCGCTCTCTCACTCGCTGCAAAAGATAAAAAAACCATAGAAACGGATGGAGAGAGCAATGCTCGGACTGCGGATCGATTGAAAATTCATTTCGGACAAATTACTTGTGTTACGAAAAGGATGATGGCTCCAGTTACGAAACAGAGCAATTGCAAAGTGCGTTTTCGTATATGGTGGCTCGATCTTTGCAGCGAAAATTCGATTCGATGCGCCTATAACATATTACATGATTAGGCGCCATTCATTGTTATTTTAAGCTATGCGAAATTCATAAGCACCAAAACTTTAATTTAAAGTCGACTAAAGTACTTGGATAAAATATTTTTCCAATTATACTCGGTTGGAGTATTATTGCGCTTATTTAGAATACTTTATTTCGAGACTTGTTTTCCATTAAATATTAAAGCCGTTGATATTTTATCTATACTTTCCAAAATAATATTGATTGTTTGTTTGCTTTATCGCATTTTTAATAATTGAATTATCCCCCCCCCCCCCCANNTCCCCCCCCCCCCCCAAACTTGATTTCCCAATAAAATTATGCTTCAACCTACCGCACAGTGGGACGAAAGTGAACAAAAATGATCTAAATTTGATTTTCTAGCGAATTTGGAATGAAAAAAAATCTAAAAATAGTTTCGGATTCGGGAGATTATGAGGAATCCAAAATCTTATCTTCTTTTATTAGCGATTTGTTGAAACATCATACAACTAATTAAAGACTCATATAATTCCCATGCAATATAAAAAATCTCATATATTTCTTTACTAAATTATCACTTTTTATTTTCGAATGATCATGAAAGCTATCTCAGCTCATAGGTACTCGAATTTTTTCATGTACTCGTAATAAAAATTCTACATTTAATTTTGTAATGCACATGAATTGGGTTAATCATGAATTTTACAAGTTTCAATAATTGTCAGTTTACATAATTCATTTCTTGAAGATTTGCAATTAACATTGTTGACAACTTTTTTGTGTTTCTTTATTCAGGCCTTATGAAGCATAGTTTCAATACTTCAATAATTGAGTACTCAAAAAAGCTCGGGTACCCGAAAAAACTCAATTACTCGTAAAAATTACGGTTACTCGAAAAAAATTTCGACTTGATCGAATCTTTTACGAGCGCTTGGGAAGAGCACACACTGCGCCGGCTGCCGCTTCGACACTTATTCTTACGCAAAACAGCTTTATGTCACAGGGATTCACAGCGTAAAGCTCATCTCTAGTGATTGTGTAACTAGATGTAAAACGATTCGGTTCCCAAAAGAAAACGAAAACACAGCGTAAGAGGACCGCCTGTGTGTACAACATAAGCGGCAATAATAACGATATTATACGAGCTAGCATAGGAAGAGCCCTTAATTCGCTCTATTTAGAAGTCGAATCGTTTTATATCTAGTGCACAGTGCGGCACGCGCACATTTCTGACGCAAATTATCGAGTATTACGACGTTAAACTGTCAAAAATAGATTTCCCTAAAAAACATCGAGACTTCACAGTCATGTATCAGAGCTCTTTAATTATAATACTCGCGGCGAATATTAAAATAAGCACAACGATGAATCGGTCTTGGCTATACGAAATAGTGCGTATCCTATGCGCAGAGTAGATAGGCAAAAACTTGAATGCTGTGCGGCATCGGTTATACACTTGTGATTTTGCGATAAATATAATAAAAACTAAATAAAAGCCAAGAAAATAATACAATAACTGTGTGCTGAAGTGTTTACAGACGATTGTTCTTGCTGCTGCTGCGTGCGAACCATCGCCGAGAGGCGTAGTGCATGGTAAGTGTCAATTCTAATTGACAGTCCAAAAAGACGATTCCAACGAATTATTGCAGTTTTGTTTGGAGGAAATTTTAAGTGACTTACTTAAAGTTTTATTTGAATTCAATTCAAATTTGAATATAGTAAGGTATGTGAGTACACGAGTTTTGAAACTTTGTTTTATA